CATTTGTTCTCCCATACAGTGGGCTCTCTTTTAGTTTTGTTGATGATTGCTTTTGCTGTGCAGAAGCTTTTTGTTTTGATGTAGTCCCTTTGTTTATTTTCTCTTTAGTTTTCTCTGCCTTAGAAGACATATTTGTAAACATATAGCTTCAAGTGATGTCTGAGATTTTGCTGCAAGTGGCTTCTTCTAGGATTTTTATGGTTTCACAACTTACATTTAAGTTTTGTATCCATTTTGAGTTTATTCTTGTGTATGGTGTAAGTTTGTTGTCTAGTTTCAGTTTTTTTTTTGCATGTGTCTGTCCAATTTTCCCAACATCATTTATTGAAGAGACTCTCTTGACTCCATTGTATGCTCTTGCCTCCTTTATCAAATATTAATTGAGTGTAATGGCTTGGGGCAATTTCTGGGTTCCCTGTTCTGTTCCATTGACCTATATGCCTGTTCTTGTGCCAGTATCAGGCTGTTTTGATTACAGTGGCTTTATAGTATAACTTGAAATCTGATAGTGTGATTTCTCCAACTTTGTTTTTCTTTCTCAAGATTGTTGCAGCTATTCAGGGTCTTTTTTGATTCCCTATATATATTTGGAGTATTTGTTCTAGCTCTGTGATATATGCCGTTGGTATTTTAATAGGGGTTGCATTAAATCTATAGATTGCCTTGGGTAGTATGGACAATTTAATGATGTTTATGCTACCAATCCACGAACACGGTATATGCTTCCACTTGCTTATATCTTCTTCTATCTCTTTTTTCAACATCCTGTAGTTTTCTGAGTACAGGTCTTTTGCCTCCTTGGTTAAGTTTATTCCTAAGTATCTTACATTCTTTTGTTGCAGTGGTAAATGAGATTGTTTGTTTAGTTTTTCTTTCTGAGAATTCATTATTGGTGTATAGAAACACCATCAATTTTTGGGTTTCGATTTTGTATCTTGCTACATTGCCAAATTCATTTATTAAATCTAGTAGTTTTTTGGTGGTATATTTTGGGTTTCCTATATACAGTACCATGTCATCTATGAATAATGAGAGTTTTATTTCCTTAGGGAGGACTTTATTCTTGGGAATCATTATCATCATTTACTATACTATAGAGCTGCCTCTAGACATTTGGTCTTCAGTTTTCTTAACAGAATGAACATTATCGCTCCTGAAACATGACTATGTCACACCTATTCACTGCCCACTTCCCTTTCCCAAGGTACATCCTTTGTATTTATTTGTCATTCCTCTGACAGGAAGCATATATCAATACTTGCTGAATGACTTAACTCTGGGAGAAGTTTTGAGCCTACACATTTTAGGAAGTTTTTATCATCTGTAGATGATTTTTTAAAATTTTCTGAATAAGCTTCAATTTTTATTCAATTTTTAGTATGGTTTAAAAATTATGAATCACTTTTTTATTCTTAAACTTTTTTTCTTATTTAGTTCTTCCTTTGCCTTCTGGTCAAGAAAAGTGAAATATTGAAAAATAACTGAAAGTATGAGATTGATCTAAATTTATAATATCCAAAAGGCTTTAACATGTCCATTTATGAAATCATTTCTCAGTGAAGCATGGACATGTTATTTATGTTCACAGCTACTACAAAATTTCAGAACTAGCCAATGTTTCTGTTGCGCAAATGAGGGAACTAATGCCCAGTTATAGTAGATGACTTGATTAGATCAGAACTAGAATTGAGGTGCTTTTCACTCTGAGAACAATGATGTTTCATGTTGTGGAAATAAATAAACAAATAAATAAATAAATACAGAATTCCACTTTAGAGCTTTCTCTTTTAGGGGTTCTCCCAAGGGTTTTATAAATTATTTAGAAGCTGACCTGATTTCAGTTAGAGAATCAAAGAGAGTTAATTGCAGACTTCAAATATGTGAGCTATTATTTTAAGATAAGATTTCCCACCTCCTCTGAGAATGGAAAAAAAGAAATGAGCTTAAAGTTCAGCAAAAAAGACTGAGATTAGATATTAATTAATGTAGGTCTATGAAATCCTGCAATTGGTTACTGGGGAATGTTGTCAAATCGCCTCCTCAGGAGAACTTTGGGAATGTGGTAGGTGGCCCATTTCTAGAGCTAGGAGCACAGTTTAATTTATATCTCATGAGGTCATGCTCTGCCTATAGCTAGCAGGTGGGGTAGTTGTCTACTCTTAATTATAGCAAAATTCAAGACTCATGAGTGAAGCATGCAGTTTAAGTTCTATTTCATATTTATGTCAGTCCTGATAAGTGTAAGTGTGAAGACTGACTAAAATTACTGAATGCTTATTGGATGGTCTTGCCCATGGCCTTCATTGGATTAATTGACCAACATCTGAAAGGTTTATTTCTTTGGATTCCATCTCAACATACTCACCTTGCCAGCAGCTTTCTGATTTCATGAATACCTTCCAAGTTGTATTCCTGGTCTACAAAGCAAAAAAATAAGAGGTCCATCCTATGTAAAAGAGAAATTCTTTATTTCAACTAACAAGATAGGCTTAATATTTGGAGGACAAAATGAATAAAAGTGACAATATAGTTAGATAAATCTGTATCTTGCAAAACAAAGTAGAAAGAGTTGTTAGCTCATATATTGGGTGACAACTCCTAAAAGTCATCAAATAAAAATTTTAAATTTCTAACTTAACATGTAAGTCTTGAATTTAAGTAAAATAATCAATTATATAAATACAGGATGGAGACATATCATTTGAAAGAGTTTAATGTGTAGAAAGAGGCTTAATAAGAAATAATTATATAACTTATTTGAAGTACATTCATTGTCTGGAATAAAGCTAGTCCTTAAAAACTTAGCTAATATCATTATAACTTTGATACTCACTGCCTCTTCTCCCCTATTCTCCTGCTCATTCTGCTTTTCTCATATACATCATTAATTCTGCCCAGTGTCAAACTGGAACAGCATTGATCATTCGTCTGCAAACCCCCAAAAAATCTCTTCCCACGAACAGAATCATTTTTTTATTTCAGAAAGATTGGGGTTTCTTTGTCTCTGAGATTAGGGAGGGAATTTACAATAAAGAGTCTATAATAAACATAAAAGGCCCACCGGAATGAATTTTCCTTTTCTGACTGCTCCTCTACTGGAAATTTTTTCTCTGACTCTTCCCTATTTAGCAATCATCTCTGCTCACAACTGATCTCTTCCAGAAGCTCCGAGAAGGCCAAATTTCTCTGCCCTCTATTATTTAGAGTTGCTTCTATCTTCCTTTAAAACCAAAGAGCTACCCATCCAAGCACAGCTCAGTGTCTACAGTAAAATGGATTTCAAAGGCACAGCATCTCAACAAATATTAATTGCCCACCTCCTTCCCATCTCCTGCATTGTTTTTCTGCATTTCATTCGACCCATGGTATATTTAGGTTTTTGTCTACTTTTTGTGTTCCCATCAAAGCCTAATTCTCAAAATGTTAAAAACACAATTCTCACCCATAAGTGAGCACATCAAAGTTTTATTTAACATATGAAAAAGTTTATTTCAAATAACATATTAAAAACCTGGGATAAAAAAAGAATACTGAGATAATGCTAAGTTGGATAAACTATTAATATTGTAAAGGGCAATAAAACCATAACCTAAGGGGGTTAACATAGTTTCCCAAGTAGTTAATATCTGTAATACTAAGCAATTATGCAGCAAAGTTACACATCATCAGTCAAAGCACCTTAAGGTGAGCTTATTTGACAATAAAGGACATGTGACCATCCATCTTTTGCCTGAGCCAATTTTAGGATACATATTTTAATGCCCCCTTGTCAACCCCCAACTAAATGTAAGCTACATGTGCACTGTCATCTATGAATCAAAAAAGGTAGGTCTCTCCTACAAGCTGCTCAGATAATAAAAATAGCAACAAAATTTACACCAGGTAATAGGTTGCCTTATGAATGTTTCCATCAATATTAATATTCAAAAGGAAATATTTGGATTATCTGTCAGCATCTGTTGTAGGCAGGATTCTAAGTGGGTAGTGAGGCTGAATTAGATGTTTTTTAAAGCCCCTATCAACACTAGGAGTTTTGACTGTGTGGATCCATTAATAAATATTGAGAAAGTCAAGAGAATACCACACATTTTCTTTGTCCTCCAGAAGCTTAATCATTTTGCAGTCTAATGGACAAGAACAATAGAAAAAAACATAAGGTTGATTGGAAATATAGTTAACTAGCTGTTAAATTTCCAATAAGACTAGGAGAATAATGATGGTCGAGAAGGTAGGGAAGATTTTGCAGAAGAGGTAGGAATTAATTGGTCTAGATCAGTGGTCGGCAAACTCATTAGTCAACAGAGCCAAATATCAACAGTACAACGATTGAAATTTCTTTTGAGAGTCAAATTTTTAAAACTTAAACTATATAGGTAGGTACGTTGTTATTAACTTAATTAGGGTACTCCTAAGGCTTGGGAAGAGCCACACTGAAGGGGTCAAAGAGCCACATGTGGCTCGCGAACCACAGTTTGCCGACCACGGGTCTAAATGAATAGTACATACAATTAGGCTGAGTTGTGTCCTCCAAAGTCATGTGTTGAAGTCCTCACTCCCAGTATGTCAGAATTGACTGTATTTGGAGACAGTCTTTAAAGAGGTAATTAAGTTAAAATGAATTCACCAGGGTGGGCCCTAATCTTATATGTCTGATGTTCTTATAAGAAGAGGAGATGAAAACACAGACTCACAGAGGAGACCATGTGAGGAAGCTGGGAGAAGGTGGCTATCTACAAACCCAGGAGGTCTCAAAAGAAACATACCCTGCCAACGACTTAATCTCAGATTCCAGACCCCAGAATTGGATGATAATAGATTTCTGTTGTTTAAGCCACCCAATCTGAAGTCATTTGTTATGGCAGCCGAGCAAACTAAACAGTGGGACTGAAATGTGGAGAGAGAAGAAGAATCCCTTAGGGAAAAAAAATATATAAATAAAGAGGTCAAAATGAGGATAGACATATTGAAGAATACAGTTTTGAAACAGGGGTTTCCATTAGTGAAAGGTACCTACAACTCCCATTCTAATAAATAAGACTTTTTTTCAGTATTGTGTCTTAAGAGAGATAAAACCTTTTAACCTTCAGCTCTTTATTCAAAATGTACTTCCTCAGAGATGTTTTCCCCTTTCCAAAACGGTGTCTTCTACCCCAAGTCATTCTCAAGCCCTTTATCCTGCTTTGTTTACTTCACAGCACTCAAATATGAAATTAAAAACTTTTCATATTGGTTATTGCCTGTCTCCCCACTGGAATGAAAGTTCAATAGGCTCAGGAATCTCATCTCTCAAATTTACCACTCTATCTTCAGAACCCAGAACAGTTCCTAAATTTAAATATCTATATACATAAACATGTAAATATAAATATCTATATAAATAAAAGTAAAAATAGAAATATCGAATGAATGAATTGTCCTAAGAAATGCCATCAGGAGAGAATTTTCTTTGAGAGGCATGGAAAAGCCAAGAAGTTACTTCTGGTGAGCGGAGGAGTCGGATTCTCCTGACTTTCTCTTGCCTCAGGTGTTATGAATCCGAGGCCTTGAGAAACTCCAAACCCTGTTCAAGGGGGTAGGGAGTGGGCACAGGGGAAGACTACCAGGAGCAGAAGGGAGAGGCTTGAGCACACCACCTACAGCGTGGATACGCATGCACATACATGCACTTACACAGACACGCTGTGTCAGCCCCATGTGGAAGGGAAAGTTGGATTCAGGGCAAAGTCTGAAAGTTTAAATACTTAAGCATTCTTTTGGACAGCAAACTAAAATTTCATGAGGATAAAT